AACACTCTGGAATATACTTCTTCTTACAGACAAAGTACATCATTTTTGCATCACAATTATAATCATTCCATTGTTCTTTATCTCCTTTAAAATCTGAATCTTTTGGATCGTTGTAAACCTGAAAATAGGACCATCATTGCTCAAACAAAGCCCTATTGCCCTAAACATTTGAGGTGCCATGGTGCCTCTCTTTCTTTCTTTCCTCACGTGCCCTCACTTTCTCTTTCTTTCTGTTTCTCACTCTCTTCAAATGTCTTGTCCTTGGTATAAATTTGGCTGATGTGGCTGAAGGAAGTGAAGGACGGGCAAAGGATACGCCGAAACTCTTTTTGTAAATTGCTTTTCTGACTATTCGCCTGAAATCTTGATATGTGTTGTCGTTCAATATTACGCACAAATTGCACCACATATACATAGACTTTGTAGTGCTTACCACGTGATCTCAGTCGATATTTTTGCAACTACTGATTTCTTCCCCTGTTTATTGTAGTGTATGCTAAATTTTTGTTCTCGCCCTTTCGACGTGAATGGCTCACTTCGAAGGTTGAGAAGGCTGAAACTATGGAATCCACACGTAAAATTTCAGCGGATACGAAGGAAGCAGGAATGAGAGGTGCAACGATTGCAAGCATGCTGGAGATTCCAGAACACACTCTGTCATTGGTTCTCNCACACTCTGTCATTGGTTCTCACTCGTTCCCATTATAGGAACACGATGGTTGACGCTCCGAAAACGGTGACCGTGTTCAACATCTACTCGTCAGGATAAGCTCTCAAAAGCCCACCTTGCGCTTACCAGCGTCGACATTGCAGCGACTTTAGTGCCAGCGATGAACTAAAATAAGTGGACGGGCTGTGGCAGGAAGGCTTACTGCAGCAAGGTCGATTGAAAGACGTCCAGCTATGAAGCCGCTGATGACCCGAAGAATAGAAAAGCATGAGTATGCTTGCTCGTCGCCGCCTGAACCAGGCATCAAGCAAGTGGAGAAGGTCCTGTCTTCCGGTGAAGGCAAAGTCAACCTCTTCTGATCAAGTATGTGAGACGTCCTACTGGTGAAAAATAATGCAGTCCGATATAACCAGACCCTCTGTCAAGCACGGAGAAGGATCGGTCATGGTGTACGGTGCATTCTCGTTTGAAGGAACAGATCCTGTTCTCGAAATTGAAGGCGGGATGACTGCTAAAAATTGCAGAAACGAAATTGAAAGGTCTTCGAAAAATTTTTGTCATGGGCGGAAGCAAGACAATGACCCATCTGTTTGAACGCATCTTTTGCAGCATAAGAAACATACCTTTTGTACTGCGAACACACGTTCCAACAGAAGTGTGAGACTTTTGCACTGGCCGAAGCAATCTGAAGACCTCAATACAATCGAACGCTGATGAGAAGAGTTGGAGAGACCGTGCGCCAAGTACCCGCGCAGCAACTTGATTCAAAGTTTGCTCCACTTGCGAAGAGCGGGAACCATGCCAATTGCCATTCTTCAGAAGGTCATTCATCTTATCAATGCCGTCTTGTGGTGCAGCATCCATCAGAAGTCGTGGCTTCCCGATGAAATATTAGTCGTTCGCAGTAGCTATCGTTGGATTTTGATTTCGGTAGTTTGCTACAATTTTCTTGCTGGGATGCTTCTTCTCTATGCCTGGTTTTTGCAAGCTTTTCTGAAAGTTCACCTCCCTTGAAAGTAATGTATTTTGTTTGTGGCAGTGCTACATAAGACAAATAAGATTTTTAAGAAAATCGGTTAAGGAAGANAGTGTCTATCACTAATCTCTTATCAAAATAGTTCATTGAGACTGGGATCTGTTGCTTTCTGCTTTCACCCAACCCCAGAGACGATGATGGACAACATTAGCGGTGGCACGCAGCTATGGTCATCGAGTTGATCCCAGCTTCTTGCAAAGTATTTTCGAGATTATTTCATTTCATGTTTGGGTTAACGGATGCTCCCATCTCAACGGCTGACCACACTGAGACATCTATGGGATTTAGGTCAGGGCTCCAGGGTGGTCACTGATCGAAGGTTATGTAGTCAGGGAACCCCTTTTACGGAATTTCTAGACAATTTCTGTTCTACCGACAGGAGCATCATCTTGACCATATGTCCGGTTTGAATCGCCAGAGTGTCCTGTTGCGCATGAAGAGATCGAACTGGTCTCCAAATCAACTTTCACTCCTTATTTTACAAAAATAATCGGTGCTTTTGCCTCGGCGGTGACGCTAGCAAAGGATATCGCAGAAAGTTAGCAAGCCTAGCGCTGCATCACTTCCATTTCTTTCAACTTTATACAGATCTTGTAGCCCTGCTTACTGGGCACCTTTTTCACTGTGGATATCTTCCCGCCGGCGAACAGTAATTCCGTAGGACAATTTTTGTATGTGGCTGGGCAGCTTTGGTGAGCCAACATTTCAGTTCTTTTTAGTCTGCTCACTGGGGAAATCACTTTCTAATCGTATAAAGGCCTTGTCGTGCAGATGATGCTTCACGATTTGCACAGAAAACTTTATGAGATATCCATTCATTTACTCATTTTGGGCTCAGAATGAAGTTCGCTGCTATGCAGACCTCCGCCCTGCTTCATTAAAACTCCCACTAAATATAACCGCAGGCCTCTTAGGATTACCACTCCTATCTGCAGTTGTTCCTAACTCTTGAAAGCGACTTACAATCGAATGTACCCTCTGCCTTGTTACGCTGAGTCGTCTGTAGATGCACCGTGCCAAAAGTGCTTGAAAATGCAAAGCGACGTTTAATTCACAGGGCAGTGACGCTTACATTATTTTCAAAATCTACCAAAAGTTTAGTATCATCAGGAAGGTAATAATGCAATCTACCTTGTGAAATAGAAGAAAGCGAACAAATTGCTATGACCTCATAAAAAATTCGCTATGAGCGACAGCGCGCGCTCTAATCATAATTTTGGCCCACCCTGTATTTCGTTTGTGACAGTGCTACATGAGACAAATAAGATTTTTAAGAAAATCGGTTAAGCAAGAAAACAGATAGTTGCAACGAACTGTTTCGGCGAGTGATGATTCCATCGCTGATATGAATAAAACAATAACTTGTGCGCAGTGCTCCGAATCCTCATGGTTATTAGGTTCATCAGGAACCGTTCAGATAATCCACCGGAG